CATTACAATATTCGGTCAGCTTTCGTAATGTATTTGGTCCGTATATCACATCTCAAATATTGTCAAACTGAAATATTAAACAAAGATATCAGTGATCAAAGAAAAAAGCTGTTCCCGAGAGATACAGAAAGAATTAATGAAATTGAAATTGTCAAATTAATACTATTTGTCAGTGATCTTTAACCAGTATTAAATAGCTAACGAAAATAAAGGAAATAGCAGCGAAAAAATTTTCAAAATTCAATCAAACAGAATATGTGACGATTTTCAAGAAGAATGATTTCTTGTTTAAAAATGAATACAAATACAATTTGAAACTGAAAACAATGAATACAGCTTGATACAATTGAATACAATCTGAATATAATATGAATATAATAATACGAGCAATACGGTAGGAATACAATTTGAATACAATATGAATACGATAAATGCAAGCAATATAGTATGAATACAATGAATACAATTTGAATGCAATGAATAGAATTCGAATATGGTTTTTTTTTTTTTATTTTATACAATAAGCAATGTGTAATGAATAGGAAATGATAAAAGATATTTTAGTGAAATATTATTGCCTTTGATCTTTAACCTCTATTAATAGCCGAGGAAAGTAAAGGAAATGACAGTCATAAAAATTTTTTTTTATAACTGTCATTTCTTTTTTCTTCTTTTTTTAAAAAGAATTTAATTTTTATTTCAAGATTCAATCAAACAAAATATAACCAAAAGAGCGATTTCTTGTTTTTTTTCTTTACATGAATAGAATTTGTTACATATTTATACAAAATAATAACATATTTAAAAATAGGAATATGCACATAATTATTGTATTTACGTTCACATTTTTTTATATTAAAAAAGCTTCAGAGAATTGCTGTCAAAAATGCATTTTTATGCTTTAAATAAAAATAAAATTATGTGAAAATATTTATCTTTAAATTTCTTCATATTCATTGGAAATAATAGAACGATTTTTAAAAAACATTAATATTTTTGTCAAAAATTTTGAATCTATCTCCTCAATGAAATTCTTCGGCTCGTTATCTTTTTTTTATTAGTTAATCTTTTTTTTTTCGTCTTTTTCATTTGCTTTTCATGATGATTCGGAATTATTTCGATACTGTACAGATGACAATGAGATGATCACCGCATTTCATCAAACAGCCTTAAAGTTTAGTGAAAATAAGTGATGGCGAAGTGTTGCTATTCAAAGATTTTACAGTGATATTTGTACAATGCTTCTGACTATTACTGTTCAAAAATCTGAGGGAAATAATCGCCAAGTCCATAAACAAATCATTTTGGATATTTCAGGCATCGAATGAAGGCGATCTGCCGATGTAAGTAGAACTAAGAAATTACGACGGAATAATGACTACGCCTATGGCATTGAGGTAAACGACAAACAGTTCAAATATGACATATTTGATAAGCAATTCGGACATGAATACAATTTAAGAGATCCTAAAAAGTAAAAAACATTTTTGCATACTTTATTTTTTATTTTTTTTTTTTACACAATTTGCATACTTTTTTTTTATTTTAGTAAAAAAATATGCAAATTGTGGCATATGTGACAACTGATGACAAAATATTTTTAGCCACCAGTGATTCGAAAATCTATAAGAAAAAACGTAACAGTAACTTAGTAAAGTAAATATTTTCATCCAAGGAGCTTATTATTCTTTTTTGGATTAGTTTACATTTTTTTTTTTTGCTTTATTTACCCATTATTGTCAACGATGCTATTTGATATCTGATTAAAGAGTGAATGCTTTCTCTGTAATAAAACCTTGTTTAAAGTTTATGAGCATCTTTTCCACGAACAACATTCCATTCCATTTATATGACGAATAATTGAATAAAAAAATTTGGTGCCGTACAATTAGCGGAGATACGATAATATAAGATAGTATTTGCTAAGCTATATAATTAAAAAATATATTTCAGATAGAACGCAGAGAAGAATGTTATATATGTGACGGATCATTTAGGACGGAAGTAATTTGAGGACATATCATTGAGCACATTATAGTTTATCTCAAAGACTGTACTATGCTGACAACAAATGGTATCTTACAAAGTCACAGTTAAATATTATCAATAGCACTATAATCGAAGGCACTCACTGTTCCTCACCTTCAGTGATAAGTTCCTTATGACATTACGGTATCTTAACTAATTTTTAATTTTTTTTTCAATAAATAATAAGCAGTAAAGAGAATGAGAACATTGTTTTCTACTTTTTACTTTGATTTTCATGGTGATTGTGCAGTAGATTAAATATTGTTTAATAATAATTTTCTTGCCCCCTCCCTCATCTTATTTTTCATTTCCTATTCCCGTATTTATTTTTTCCAACATTCCGTAAGGTCCCTTATCAAAATCTAGGCTATAATTCCTGGAACTGCTGCATAAAATAGTTGGTAAGTCATGAAAATGACTGACTTGTTTAACATTAATAATTGTAAAAAAACTATTCTTTATTCATTAAAAGAATTTAACATTAAAAAAACTGCTTTATAAATTTTTCATACCAATTAAAATAATTGAATGAATTTGAAAGAATTAGATTGCTGAAGTGTGCTCAAATACAGAAAATCTAAATATGCATTAAGTATGTGCGTAAAATAGTCAAAGCAACGCGAATAGCCATGAATTGAATTGCTAAATTAGCATACAGGGAAAAATCATTCAGTAGACTGTAAAAAAAACTAGCGCAAATTGTATCAAAACAAATACACATATCAAAAACCACTTTTTTTTTTCTCCACCATTAATTATGAAACAATTTCGTTCCAAGAGAAGCTTAGAATTTGCAAAAGAAATGTTTGTGTAAGCAGATACTTTCTGCAATTTTTTTCATTATCTCCTGAAAAATTTAACCAAAGTAAAGAACCGGATTTTCTGGTCATGCCAGTTTTTACGTGACTTGAATTACATACGAAAACTTTCCATATTTACTCAATTAAGTTAGTAGGAGTAAACAACGTCGAACAATTGTTACTTAAAGAATAATGCAAATGTAGAGGACCTAAACCTTAAAATTGCTCAGTTAGCTTTATTGAAAAAAATTTTACTCTAAAATATCCAATCTTATACTTGTTTATTTCGCTTTATTGTACTTTATTTTCTTCTCCTCATTCTGCTAACAAGGATAATAAGTTTGGTTACTGCTTTTTGATTTCATTCTTCAAATTTTCAAAATATGAGAAATTTTTATAATTTCAACGAATGTTTTCAACCCTGGTAAATTCGGTCTTTTGGCTTTTGATTTAAATTTAGAACTAAATAAATCAAGATTTCATTGAGAAATTTGCTTGAAAATTGAAGAGCTTATAAGATAAACTAAATTATATTAGCTTAACACATGTCTGATACTCATTCAATATTTTTCTTTAATTTTGTTGTTCTAATATTTTCATCTTTTTATAATAACTTTACTTTCACAAAACTTGGGACCAGACTTAATTTTCCTTTCTTATTAACCATGCAAATGAATTACTTGTCAAGTAGTGGAAGTTTTAAAATAAGATTAAACTAAGCCGAAAACGATCTTAACAGTGCTAGAAGCGATTTTTTATATCTATGTAGTCTATATAGCCTCTTGAAAATTTTTATAGATTTAATCAAATATCTCGAGAAAAAATTACCAATTGTTAACTTCTGCTAAACTTTCAAACAACATTTGGGTTTTATATTCATTTTTTCAGGATTCGAATATGTTCAGTATAATGTTCATCTTTACCATTTCTTTATTCCATTTACATACTCAGGCATATTTGGCAGATTTTCCATCTACTGGACCAATTTCTCCCTATATTGGTTCTATTCCTGCTCTCGTAAATGCTAAGACATATGATCAGATATTACAAGAAATTATAGGTCCTCCTACGAACTACAGTAATGGCTTTTTCTGGCCACCACCTCGTGCTCTTGTGGCTAAAATATTGGAAAAAAATATTTTACAATCTTCTGGTCTTGCTGGATTAGGTTTGGAAAGCTTAGAGTTAAGTGGCATGGGTTTAGGCTTGAGTAATATGAACCCCATAGGTTTACTTGAAAATCTACAACGGGCTTTTGCTAGAGGCGTTCAAGTGATCCAAATCCCACTTTCATCTTCTTCATCCACACTGCCACAATGTCAAGCACCATGTTTTGTCTGTTCACCACAGACATATACACCAGGTATTCTTTATTTAAAATTTCGGAATAGTCGTATGAACTAATTCTCACCCCCACCTCCCCTCCGCCCCCCCCAACTTTCCATTATCATCAGATGCGATTTAAAGCAGCACTACAAAGTGTAGATTTTTGTTTGATTTCAAGATTTTCAAATATGCTGACAAAGAGTTGAAAGTGAATTTTTCACCAACTTTTCTATCTTGCATCAAATTATAATCAATTTTTTTTGTAAGTAGTATTGATCACTAATTATAAAAGATAACATAGCTTAAAGTATTTAGCTTTATTTTATTATTCAATACACTTTGTTTTGTGTTTAAATACGGAATTAATAAGATTTTCATTTTATCCATACTTGACATAGTAGATCATATACAAGTCAGTTAAAGTTCATTTAAATGAAAATTATAATTTGCAACACAACATGAACGTCTTTCGTTAAATTTAGATTGCACTCAGTCGACCGATCAACAAATGGTTGTATTTACTACGACGCAAACTTCAATATCGCTTTCAAATCTGTGTTGTTGCTGTATTCAGATGAGTAAATAGGAGGAAGATCAAATATTATTTCTTAGTTTTGTTTCGTTTGTTTTCCCATTCTTTTATTTTCTGTTTTATTGAAATAAATGTTATTACGTTTCTAAGTATAATTTCAAAGCAAAAAATGACATGTTGATAATAAATCTTGTAATTTTTTTTCTAAAGAAATCTGTTTAGTTTACAGAGAAAATTGCTAAAAATAATAGATGTTTTATTGAAAATTATTAGAAATAAACTAAATTTATTTTATAATAAATTTATTTTGGCATATAATGAGACAAAGATGATTAACGCATAAATAATACAAAAACTAATACATTTTGAGCTTCTAATGCTTGTTTATTATCCAATGACAAATTCAAAAAATTTTCATAGCGAAAAAAATGCGGTAACAATATAATTTAATTACATGATGGTAAAGTAAAATAATCTGTCTCAACAAAAAAAAATTTAACTTAATTTGTAGGTTTTTCCTACATTGTAAACAGGAAATCCTAGTTGTTAGAAGAATTAAATCTTAAGTTTTTTCCATGCTTAGTTAAAGGAATTGTTCCAGAAAGTATAACGAATAATAATTCTTCCTCAGATTTCAACTAAATGTTTGATTACTTTGCTTACATTCATTGTGCTCTTTAACATTTCTTATTACAAATTGTAATTCTTCATTAAGCTTCTCAGTATTCCCACAAATATTTCAGAATTCACGGTAAAAATGATTTGTTTGTAGCTGTCAGTATGATCTATTTATACGACGACTGTTGCATTTATTATTATTGTCTTAGATAATTTTTTAAAGAAGCGATTATTTTCGTTTGTGTCATAAAATAAAAATGTCATAAAACCCAAATATACCTCAATCGTTAAGCCAAACAGTTGAGGTGGGAGAAATAAAATAATCGAATAGCTAATTTTTAAAATTTTGTATCTTGGATTTTGCTTGTTTCAAAAAAACTGAAATCTCAGCTTACGGTATAATGCACTGTTTTCTATTTATACCAATAACGCTTGAATTAAAGCTACGAGAATGGTAATTGAATTTGGCTGGTTTAGAAATGTAATCATAGTATTGGAAAAGAAGTTTTCGGTATCTATTTCATAGAACAAACTAGTAATTTGGAATTGTTAAATTTCTGGAATAATGAATTGATAGTAACAAGTCCTGGATTAGATCCTCAAATTCATAAACTTCTCTTTGGCTAACAGTTTTACGAGGAATCATTCCCAGAAAATGTGTACTATGCTATTTTCTGGAAAAAAAGAGTGCTGAATGCTGAATTATAAAATATTTTTAACTATTTTTTTTGGATGAAAAACTTGAAATGTTTTCTTCACTGCTTTCATAATTTTGCTGATTGTTTTTCATTACAATTCCAATATAAAAAAGTAACAAGTGTTGGAAACTGCGATCATTTGAAGCTGAAACAATTTTTCGCATACCAATGAATATTTATCATTGGTTATGTTTTTATATAAATAATATTTATTTTTCTTATTATCAAGTTAAGCTAAAATTAGTGTAATTGAAGTTCTTTCAGTAAACAGATCTAATATTCAATAAATTGGGAATATAATGCCTTATTCTTCGAAATTTCACTTCACCCTACATTTGAATATACCAAGAGTGAAATTCAAATGAAATTCCTCATTAAAATAATAAGTCCTCATTAAAATTTGGGCTTAATCTAACCTTTAATTGTTTTAACCTTTAATTTGCCAATCATGTATATTAAAATTCAAGTTAAAAACTCTAAGAACGTTTGTTAAAATTCGTGTTTCTCTCAATAACAGGCATATAATACTACAAAAAGACCATCGCATCAAACTTTATCTGGGCCACATGTATATGATATTACTTTTTTCTTCTTTGACTTGCTATTAAATGTCAGTAAAAATAAATACTTGTTTTTTATCTATTTTTCAAAAGTTTTTCACTTGCTTCTATTAAAAATACTGTCTGATGTTATTTGACATTTTTTTCTACAGCGGTAGCGCTTTATTCCAGGGCAGATAATAATACAATAATTTTTATGGCGCTGCGATTTTTATCGTGAAATACAAGTGAAAAACTTGTAAACTGAAGAGTTAATCATTATTTCGCCGTCATGTAAAAATATGATAATTTTCTACCATCAGAAAATTATCACAGCATGTAGAAAACATATGAAATAACAAAATGAATGCAATATGAAGTTCTATTCCATTCTCATTTAAAATTTTATATTTCCATCAGTTATTTTTAGCATTCAAAAGGAAATATTGCATAGGTATAAATATATTTTTGACATTCAATCAGGAAATAGTGAGCAAAGCATATATGGCAATGCAAACAGTGCAAACACAATTTAAACCACCACGACATAATAATTTATAGCCCTACGAATGAAATTGTTTGCTTCATTAACATATCTGTGGCGGAGACCTTTTCTATTGCCTTACAATTACGGAGATAACTGTATTTGATGCAAAGAACTTCTGGCTTATTAGCAGAACTTTTATGCTTCTCCATGTATTTTTTCAAATAATTTCAAGCGAATTTCCCTGGCAGCATTGATCACATTCAAATAGTTTACGCCCATATATACCTTTCTATATACTTTCAGATTGCTGCAATCATTCATCACAATAATTTCTCGTCCTCATGTATGTCTCCATGCCCTTGCAGATCACCATCCAATCGTTTGAATTCTTCGCCGCATACATTCAAATTGCGGTTCGTTCCCATGTATGTCTCTGTCCCTGTGCAGACTGATGGACCACGGTATTGATTGCATGCGGACCATTCTTCGTTTGCTCCGCTTGCCACGGTCATTATTTCGCCGTCATTTCTTTTTTCTCGGCTGTTTGAAGGTTGCATTATGGGAATTTCTCGCCTCAAATGATCGGTTATTACTACTTGTATTAATAGATCATCTTCATTTGATACCCGAAATGATTCATGACCTAAATGGTTTGCTGATTATTTTTATTGGAATTTTTTAACA